TCTTCTCCAGAGCTGTTCCTGAGGACGATTCCCCCCGAGGGAGCCAGGGCTCTGTGCAGGTCCCCCAGGCTGGTGCTGCAGGAGAAGGTGTGCTGGGCCTCGGTGAAGTGCTGGCCCTTGCCTCCCTCGTTGTGCCCGGCCAGGCGCAGCACGTTCAGCACCACGGGCTCGTGCTCGGCGCCCGCCAGCACCCTGGTGCCTCCCACCTGAGGGCAGCAATTCCACAGTCAGGGATTACAGGGCACACTGGGCAGCAAGGAAATCATCCAGGCAGAAAGGTGGACACTCCCCTCCTTGTTAGATACAAAGCAGCTCCCTGCTGAACGACCAGAGTAACTCAAAGGGGTTGGGAGGAGAAAGGACAACCCCCAAGGGCTGTTATCCAGAGAAGCCCCGTCCCTGGAAGTGTTCAAGGCCAGGCTGGAGCAACCTGGGATAGTGGAAGGTGCCCCTGCCCATGGGATGAGCTTTAAGGTCCTTCCAAGCCAAATTATTCCATGCTAACAGTAGCTGGGAAACCAGGGGACACCTGTCTCCATCAGAGTAAGAATAAAGGAATTTGGCCTCTCGGGATATTAAAGAACTACCCAAAAGTGACTGAGGCAGATCAAAAGACTTAGATTTTAAAACCTGATGCTGAACCTAAGCAATAAATACAGTTCCCTGCTGGAGAAAACTGAATCACACAGAAAGCTGAAGTAAAAACTACCCCAAAAACTACCCTAAAAGCACAACCAAGACAAAAGCAATTCTGGTTCTGGACGTTTGGGGTTTTAGGTTTGGGGTTTTTCCTTGATAAACCTGGAAGGAAACGAATACTTTTACAATAGATGTCTTTTAAAAATAACTCTTTAATCTGCTACCCGGACAGAATAAAATGCTGTGTTTCATGAGCGACTCAAAGTTAAGCAGAAGCCTTAATATTCTATTACAGGGAAGATGCAAGACTGGAAAATTTCAGGGAGAGCATCCACAGTCTTATCCCTGCAGAACTGACAAGGCAGGAGGGTATTTGGCCCTTTTACCTCTTTCCCATTCCACACAAAGATGTCTGTTCCATCAGCCACCCCAATGCCGTCCAGGCTCAGCTCATCTCCTGAAAAACAAGGAAATCATGAGCTTCTTGTCCCCCCCAAAACACACAAGCAGGGTCAGCAAGTCAGACCCAGGGGGTTGTTGAAGTCCTTGACACTTGAAGAACTGTGGGAGGAGTATTTAGAGCACTATGAGTGTCTCTGTATTTTATATCAACGTCCTAGAGTCGGGTTATGTGCTGGTAAAACACTGATTTTCTCTCAAATTTAAAAGGGGCTGAAAAAGTTTTTCAAGACTAACACTTAGAATTGCCTAGCAAGGAGACAAAAAGGATGATTTTAAAAACTAGTGCTCTTAATAAATTAATGTACTCTTTATGTAAGTATTCCCCTTTACAAAATTCCTACTTCAGCTTAAGTTTAGCTTATATTTTCCTATATTTCCCCACATTTTCTCCTTCACTTCCATCCTCTCCTCCACCTGCCAAGAAAATCCTATGAGAGCAAACATCCAAAAGCAAATCACTGACATGTTTTTATCAGAAAATACGTTTAACTTGTTTGAGACCTGAAGTCTCACTGCACTTCACAGCAAAGATTACCCAGAAAAGTCCCAAAATCATTCATTTCACTAATAAGAGTGAAATAAATAACTGAAAGAATGTAATAGGAAGTTTGAGTTGGAAGAGTGTTCAGTGATACACATCTCCAAGATGGTTTATATATGAAATCTTTGGTGTCTGCAGTAAATTAAATATATAAAGAACATGGAAGCATTGATTGTAGTGGCCTTACCATCAAGCATCTGGTAGAGATGTAACCCTGCTGGTAAAGGCTTGGCCAGACTCAGAACCATGTCTCCTTCCCAGGAGTCCAACATCTCATTGGGAAAAATCACCAGAAGAATTCCATAAATATTATATACATTTAGATAGCGTTATTAAAATGTCATGTTTATATGCTATTATATAAAACATAATAAACGTTATAGAACTATTATAGAAGTTCTAAAATAAATATTGTATTTGCATAGTTTGTATTATATAAAATTATCTGATATAAATTATTTAAATTTATATAACATTATAAATACTAGATATTATATATTATATGTTATGTAAATTTATATAACATTATATAAAATAACAGCAAGCAGTAAATCACATTCCAAGCTGCTGGAACCTGTTACAGGCCTGGCTCCCAAGCTCACCTCTGGACACCTTGAATAGATAAAGACAAATCTGTCCCAACACGAAATTTTAAGTGTCAATCCATAATAAATAATTATCTTATGAGAGCTTTAAAGTCTTGAAGCTCTTTAGCTCTTGAAGCCATGAAACTGCTGAGAACTTAACGAGTTTTTAGTTAAATTTAGTTAAATTTTCAGCAGTTTCATGGTTTTAAGAACAGACCCCAAACCACTATTTCTTTATTTCTAAACCCACATGAGTTTTTAGCCTCCTAAAACCACTTTTACAGTTGAAAACTCCTCATTTAAATAAAAACTGCAGCATAAGTACATTTGCAAATGTTGTTGTGGCTCAGGTAAAGATGAAGTTTGAGTTCACTGAAGGGAGCAAATACCTGGAAAACTGCCTGGCGAAGGTCTCCCAGGGTTTTCCTCCTGTCAATAGTCAAATCCACCACGCTCTCTTTCCAGGAGAGGGAGGGATGCAAAGCCCCGTTGTGGAATTTGTAGCAGGAGCTCAGATGGAGATGTAAATCAATGCCATTGTTGGCTGAGTCACATTCAGCTCTTGGGGAGAGGAACAACAACAAAAGGGTGACTTGAACACCCACAAAGAGATGCAGCTGGAAGCGATCCCTCCATGTCCCATCAAGGCTATGGGAATCCCTCCACGGCTAAATTCCCTGCCCCATCAAGGCTATGGGAAGAGATGTTTCAAAGGTGACAGGTTTGGGTTGCAGGGGACCTTCAAGCTCATCCCTGGTGTCCCTCAAGGGCAGGGACACCTTCCACTAGACCAGGTTGCTCCAACTTGGCCTTGACCACTTCCAGGGATGGGGCAGCCACAGCCTTGTGTGAAAATCCCATAAAATCTGTCACTCTTGTGCCTCTGTTTTGATAATTCAGCTGTGATTCAGGTGTATCCTCACTCACCCACAAGGAAAAGTTCCAAGCAACCTGAACACCACTAGTTCTTCCCTTGTTTCTGGAAAAGAATACCAGTGTAGCTGCTCTTTCACAGCAACACAAGTCATTCCCCCTTCTCTCACAGGAGAACTCCCTCTATAAACCCAGGTAAGATGATGCATTCCATTCTCCTTCCAAAAGTGTACCAATTTGCACCAAAAACCGGGGCAATTTTAAACTGTAAGCACTGAAATTCCACCAGATGCCTATTTATGCCCCTAAAAGGGAGGCAGAGAACCACCAGAAGGCAGAATCTGGGTATACAAACGGCATTCTTCAATTAACCTCCATGACATTGAATCATTTCAACAGCTGGCTCTACTCAGGGGTTTCTTCCCCTTAAATCCCTCTGGAGACCTGCAGGGAAGAGCTGGTTGAGCCTGGGACAGTGCCATCAATATACCTCTTTTTTTGCAGCTCAGTGTTAGCAGCATTCATTTCATCCAGGAGGTGCTCAGGAATTTGGTACCTCGGATTTCCTCGTGCTGCCACAAAGAATAAAAGGCTGGTTTGGCTTCAAATGTGGCTTGGCAAACAAGAAAATCAAGATGAAACATTACATTGAAAAAGCAATTATGTTCAGGAGAGAGAAAATTCAACTGCAAGACGATACAAAGAACAAACAAATAATTTAATTTAATTCTCCCAATCAGTCCTGAATGGAAATTAATATAAATGCCATGAGGGACAACTTGCATTTGTTTTGGATGTTCTGCTATTATTTGTGAAGCATACTTAAAAAACAATTAGTATCAGCTATAGCCAATTAACTGGTCACTAATTTCATTTAACCCTTTTTTTCCAAGAGATCACTACAAGGAAAACTGGATCTCCAGTTCTTGGAAAGGACAGAAAAGCCCAACAGCCTGAAAAACTGGCACAGCAGGAAGCCCCCAGGACATCAAGATGAGCTTTGTGTACCTTCAGGAGGTCTTTTCAACTGGGATTTTCGGTAAAACAGCATGTAGGCACTCTCTTTACCCTGGAATTGTTTCTCAATATCCTTCTCCTTGATGGGCTGGACTTTGGAATCGTTGAGATCAAACCAGTGGCCACAAGCAGAGGTGGCCCTCGGCCTCGGGGGGCTCTTCTCTGAGTTCCAGGGGACACCATTGCTCTGAGGAGGGCTCTGCAGAGCTTGGCCTGGAGAATCCAGCTCCACCAGGAGCTCGTGGGCTTCCTTCAGGCCAACCTTGTTGGCATCAGGGCTCAGCTGGAACACCTGAGGGTGATGCTGCAAATACTGAGAGGAAACAAGGGCAGGATGAAGACGCCGAGTTTGAAATGCAGCAGCTGCTCCCCCCAAGCCATCCTCGAGCTGAGCCACAAACCCCCACAAACCCCATCCCTTCCACCTTCATTCCATGGGCCTTCCTCTGCCATTTCCTCAGTGGAGACAGAAACACGTGATTTTCTTACCACCTGACCTTTTCTGTGACAACAAGCACCCTTTCAAACCCCTCCACAAATCTACAAAACCAAGTACAGAAATTAAACAACCCCCAACTAAATGTGAATCTCAGTTTTAACCAAAGATTCATTTGCTATTTCCAAAAGCTTAAAACAATTTCCAGTTATTTCAAGAATACTGATCAAGGGAGAGACCCAGCACTTGTCTTTGGCAATATTTTCGAGAGCACATCAAGTTGGGAATGTTTATTTAACACTGGGTTGCTCACAAATCGTTTCTATCCCTCTGCAAAAGGCTCATATCCAGATTTCACACCCACATTTCCATAATTACTGTGAAATTAGAGCAGGTAGCTCCATTCAAAAAAACCATGGAATTCCCACATAGCTACAACACAAATGCTGAAGTATTTTCCTTAAAGCTTTATAAAACACAGTCACCAACAGGAAAACAAGATTTTCCTGGAGTATTCATTTCATGGACATGCTGGAACCAACCAAAATTCCCCTTACAAACTTCTCCTTGCTAGTCCAAGGCTCCATATTTTCAATTATCATCCAACTGACTCTTCAATAAAAATATAAATTATTATTATAAAGTTATCTCAACAGTAAAACCCAAACTACCACCCATGTGAATACCTTTCTTAACGCTCCATATTGTTTTCTGTATTTCTTATTCCAGGACACCCCTTTTTTCTCCAATAATTTCTGCCCTAATTGATCCACGGGAATTTGCTTCGAGTCTTCCTGGAGGGAGATGAAAAACTGGGATAACAAAGGCTCCAAAAGTCAAGGGATCAGCACAGAGAAGCCAGTTTGGAAGTGCTTCCATCATTCCTGGTTTTTAATAAGCCAATGTAACATCACCTTTTACAACAGCTGTAGGGGGCAGCTTAAGAAATATTCAAAAAGGACCTTTTTCTATATGAAGAGAAAGGACCTTTTTCTATATGAAGAGAAACTATTACTGTCAAATTTTCTTTCCAGCCTCAATTCTTTTTTTTTTCAAGCCTCAAATTTTTTTCCAAGCCTCAATTTCTTTCCAAGCCTCAAATTTATTTTTTTTCCAGCCTCACATTTTTAAGTTTTAATTGCTTCCCAGGGAGTTCAGAGGAGCTCTGGACACTCAAACCTGCCCACTCTGACACACACAAACCCCTTCCAGGCTCAAAAAACCAAGCAATAAGCCCCTTACATACCATACCTCTGCTAAAATCCCTTTTAAGACTGCCAGTGGATTCTCAGTTTCTTTGGAATTTTCAGCATCTCTTCCAGCCTTATCTTCAATCAGCTTTTCTTCTTCCTGTGCAACAAAGAGATGAGACTCAGAGATGCTGTTGTACCACACACAACTGGGTTTGATTATTCTGTAGTAAAATTAGAAGGAAATTCTGATTAATTATCCTTCTTAAGGACATGAGACACTCCGAGCCTCATAACATATTAATTAGTTTGGCTGCTCATTCACATTTTTCCTGGAAAATAAGGCCTATAAAGCAAGGAAGGGGAAAAAAACACCTTTAGGACTTACCTGTAGCTGCCAGTTTCCTAATTCATCCACATCTCTGATATAAACATGATAGTGTCCTCCATAGCAGCCACCTTTGTGTATAATAACAGAGAAGAGCTCATACATGTACTCTGAATCATCCATTTCAGGCTTTAAAAAGAGAAATAATAACAGTCACAAGGACACACATCAGTAAGTCTTGCACCCAAGGACAGTTTCACACCAGCACAGATTTCTCAGGGCGTGTTTTTTGCAGCTTGAAATGTGTTTTTTTGGTGCTGGCAACACAGGGGAGGGTTGATATAAACCATGGAGCATAAATTCATGGAATGGGTTGGGTTGGGAGGGATTTGAAAGCCCTTCCACTAGCCCAGCGTGCTCCAAGCCCTGTCCAACCTGGCCTTGGACACTTCCAGGGATGGGGAGGCCACAACTTCACTGTGTCACTAAGCAACCTTTTCACCAGGATTCTGACCAAAAGTGGGAATTCCAAATGGAAAATAACCAAATATTGATGCAAATAGAGCAGCTCAACCTGTTTGTGAACAACCAGGCTTATTTTTAAGACAAGAGAAAAAACAAGCACCACTTAAAAGCACTAAAGTTGCCAAAAAAAAAAAACAAAACCTTCCTTAAATGCAACCACTGAGAAATTTCCAAGCTTGCATTGCAATAGTTCAACAAGGACAATGTGTGTTTCATAACTGTACATTATTTATTTGTTATTACTTAATACTATTTATTTAGTATTATTTATTTAAATTTTTATTTATCGCTATTCATTTACTATTGTTTATTTATTATATTTATTATTTTAAAATTTTTATTAGTATTATTTATTTAATTTTTTATTTTATTATTATTATTGTTTATTTATTTAAGTAGGCTCTTTAAGGATCCAAAATCGTCAGGAATCATTTATTTGTTATTATTTGTTATTATTTATTTAGTATTCTTTATTTAAATTTTTATTTCTCACTATTCATTTACTATTGTTTATTTATTATATTTATTATTTTAAAATTTTTATTAGTATTATTTATTTAAAATTTTTATTAGTATTATTATTTTTTTTAACTATTATTTATTTATTTATTTATTTAAGTAGGCTCTTTAAGGATCCAAAATTGTCAGGAAGTGATAGTATAACTCAGTTTTAAAACAAAATCTATGAATTCCAACACAGATTCCTGAGAAAAATGGAATAACTGGGGGCACATAAAACATATACAGCTCAATTTATACCCACATGGTCAGACAATGACAATATAAAAATGAATTTCCATTTCCAGCTGATAAGTCTGGGAGTTTTCAAGGAAAGGGCAGATTAAGTTTTGCATAATTATTACACCCTTGGAGAGCTACAAACTATTTCCCCCCTCAGTTGGAAAGTGGTTTTTTGGACAAACCCTTGGAATTAGGGCCAGAAGAACCCCCCTGAGGTTTCTCCACGCCTCAAATGTGAGGTGTGGGTGCTCTGCTGAGGCTGCAGGGTTTGGAGAGCTGGCCCAGCACAAACCTGCTCACAGAAAGGCCTCAGGTCGATGTGCAGGGGGAAGGTGTAGCAGCTCGTCTCCTTGTACCTCTCGCACTTCTCGAAGTCGAAGTTGAACCTCAGCAGGGACACGGTGAGGAACGGCGGCAGCTTCCGCAGCTTGGCAGACTGGGAGGGATCCAAGAGACAACTGTCAGCTCACAGGGAGAGCACAGCAGTGTTTCCACCCTCTGCACAACTCCTTCTCCAACTAAAGACACGGCCAGGGTGTTACAACTTAAAGTGCCTTCCCTAATCCTCAATTTCCCTACGTTCTGAAAGGAAGCCAGAGCTTTCCCCCCTGTTAAGCCCCATATCCTCCTGGACTGGTGATCTTTGTCCTGCTACAGAAAACAAAGGACATGGGGGAAATTCCAGACAGTAATTCCATTTCCACAGCCACAGAACACTGGAAGTCTCCCTGATTTACACAGGAAAGCACCTTCCAGGCAGGAAAGCCAGGAGAATCCATTTTCATGAGGGACAACATGAATCAAGATTGAACAACTTGGTGTGGGACACATCAAGAACCCTTGGGAGAAGCAAAACCAACCACCTTGGTGGTTGCAAGTGTGCATTCAATGGCCATGTTCCTGAGCCTTTCCAATGTCTCCATCCAACTCTCATTTCCAGGAGAACCTCCCAGGAACACACACATGGCTCAACAAACCCCCTGAATTAGGTATTCTTGTTTTATCCATTGTCAAGACTATGTGGCAAAGCTTAGTGGAACAGGGATTCCAAAATCCCATGTTCTGCCAAGCTCGGTGTGAAATCAGATGGTGCCATTAAATTTTGGTCAAGTCCTGGAACAGGAAACAAAAATGGAGGGAGAGCCACATCCAGAGAGCCCCAGAGTACAAAGGGATGTGCTGCTCCAACATCCCTCCTCCACACTGCAGCCTTCCAGCACAGCCTGACATCCCCAGCTATGGGATTTCCTACCAAAATCCAGCATTCCCACTCTCCTCCTGCAGGGATGAGCACCTTTGAGAGGCACACAACTGTTCCCCCGCACTCCCTTGAACCCAGCAAAGTTTAATCCAACCAGCACGTGAGGCACAGCCAAGTGTTCCCGAGCTTCCCGGGCACTGCTTAACTCGGCCTGCCCTCAGCTTCCCTTTGGAATGCTCCCTCCCACATCCAGCTGGAGGGTTTGGATTACACAAAAAGCTTTGCTGTTGGCAAGAGGGCAGAATGCACCAACAAAAACACAAAACATTTCCTTCACAAAACACAAAGCAACAGTTCCCATTTCCCTGTGCAGAGCAACTTCTGCTCATTGGTTTTCTCTCCCATTCGGGTTCTTTGGGAGAGAATTTCCACGGTTTTCCTCATTACATGGATCTGTGTTTTCTCTTTATGCTTCTTGACACAGTTGCTCAGGTTTCATAGAATCATGGAATGGTTTGGGTTGAGAGAGACCTTACAGCTCATCTCATTCCACCCCCTGCCATGGGCAGGGACACCTTCCACTAGCCAAGGGTACTCCAACCTGGCCTTGGACACTTCCAGGGATCCAGGGGCAGCCACAGCTTCCCTGGGCAACCTGTGCCAGGGCCTCCCCACCCTCCCAGGGAAGAATTTCTTCCCAACATCCCACCTAACCCTGCCCTGTGGCACTGGGAACCCATTCCCCCTTGTCCTGGCACTCCAGTCTCTCTCCATCTTTCTTGTGGGCTCCCTTCAGGCACTGCAAGGCCACAGTCAGGTCACCCCAAAGCCTCTCTTTTCCCAGCTGAACAATCCCAGCTCTCCCAGAACTTCCTCAGAGGAGAGCTGCCCCATCCCTCTGACCATCTTGGTGCCTCCTCTGGACTTGCTCCAGCATGTCCATGTCCTTCCATTACTGGAGACCCCAGAGCTGGAGTCTCCATCCAAGCAAACTGAGCTCTGCGAGTCCCCAGGGAGTTACCTTTGAAGCTTCAACAAGTTTATCACAGGCTCCACATCGATACAAGTTGTCATTTTCAAAGTATTCTTCTTCCACATACATGTTCCACAGGGCCTCCTCCAAGCCAGCAACACCTTTCACTGCCACCGTGAGGTCTAAGAAATCTTCCTATGCAGAAAGGACAACAAAAAAGGAGTTATAAAAGTGGTGTAAGTCCATGGGACAGTAGAAAGATCCTCATTCCCATCACCACAGCAGATGGAAATGTTCGCTGCTGACGGGGAAAGACCATCAGAGAAGAAAAATTAATTTTTACACCCCAATTTTTTTGGAGCATCAAAGGCTGTAAATATACATTTTGCTGTTGTTAGAGAGCTGAGCAGTGAGGTAACTGCATCTCCCAAAGGCTCAGAGGACGCAGGAACGCTTGGGTTCTTCCCCTCTGAGGGAGGTGGTTTGGAAAACGCAGCCAAGACTTCAAGTCTCAATTCAACAAGGACACAAGAAAGATGAGATTTCTTTTCTTTTGGACTTAAAAAAAAAAAGAATATTGGAAGTACCTTCATCACACTGTGGTGGAAAATGCCCCTGCTTTACCTGTCTCTCACTGACATTCTTGCACTCCTTGCACACGATGTGGTTGACAACAATCCCGTGGTACAGTCGGTTGATGAGGTCATGGCCTGATGTCCCCACCAGGGAGGTCTCCAGAGCACTGAACAGGATCCTGTTCAACTCCTGCACATCGTGTTGCCTCATCTCCTGCCCCAGGAAACAGGGAGAAATCAAACAGTGCTCTTTGCTCTGCTAATTCCTTAAAAACAGCATTTATCAGGTGTCACAGAGCCGCCTCTGACTCCTCAAAGGTTACCCTCTGGGGAGTAAAATACCACATTTATTACTGCTCTTGAGGGGGTTATGCTGAGTAGCTCCAAGTACATCATCTACAACCCACATATGACACTTCCACTTGGGAAGAATCCCGGAATGGTTGTGGCTGGGAGGGATTTTAAAGCTCATCCCATTCCACCCCCTGCCATGGGCAGGGACACCTTCCACTAGCCCAGGCTGCTCCAATCTGGCCTTGGACACTTCCAGCAATGGGGAAACCACAGCTTCTCTGGGAATTCCATTCCACCCCCTGCCATGGGCAGGGACACCTTCCACTAGCCCAGGCTGCTCCAATCTGGCCTTGGACACTTCCAGCAATGGGGAAACCACAGCTTCTCTGGGAATTCCATTCCACCCCCT